ACCAAGACATCATGTGCACGCCTGTAGAGTGATCTCTTTTTCCTTTCTCGTTCCCTTTCAGTATCGTAGGCCACACTGAGCCATACACAAAGCTGTGCTGTAAAGGTTTCTGCATAGACATCCTGAAGAAACTGTCCCGCACCATAAAGTTCTCCTACGACCTCTACCTGGTCACCAACGGCAAGCACGGCAAGCTGGTTCGAGGAATCTGGAATGGGATGATCGGAGAGGTATGAGCAAAAGCAGCTAGTTTAGTTTTGTTTCAAGATACAAAATCTTTTTCCCCCCCTCTTTTATAAAAAAACAAGAAACAAAATCTACATCATAAAAATCCAGGTCTGAATGTTTCAGAAACTGAAACTTGATCTACTGGGATTTTTAAACAAAACCATCTTTAGGGTTTACAGAGAGTAAACTATCCCACAGGACTGGAGTTATACGAGATGAGGCCTGACTGCTTTATAGGAAGGTAACAGGAACTCAAATAACTACTCATTACAACCATGGTGTGTAGAAAAGCCTTCCTAAAGGCCATGCTGCCCACCTTTCGGGCAGGGTGACAACAATATCCATAAAAAACACTGAAATTATCCAACCAGGTTGTTCCGCACAACCAATTCAGGGTCACAGTAAACCAAGGTGAGAGGCGGGGTACACCCTGGACAGGCCACCAGTCTGTCGCAAGGACAGTCACAGAGACAGACAACCACTCAAATTTGCATTCGCATCTACGTCTAGCAATTAACCAACATGCATGTCCTCAGACTGTGGATGTCAGAGTACCCGGAGTGAACCAACGCAGGCATAAAGAGAGCTTGATAAAAGTCACCCAGAAAACACGTCTGAAACTGAAAGCACAGTGAAACTAGAAGTCGGATTGTTCGTTTTGATGCTGAGTGTCAGGCAACAATAAATAAGAATAAAAACCCTGAAGAAGACAAAAGTCTGTTCTCTGATTGAAAATGTGTATGACAAGGTCGACTGGGTCAACACAAAAAGGAGGCGCAAGTGTCCCTGTGAATGATGTACTTTCAGATTCCTCTGACCGGCCCTTCTCCTGAGTTGTTGCAGGATACAACATTAGTAGGACCCCCCCCCACACACACACCCTTTTTTATCAAAAACAGGAAGGCTATTGTGCTCAATGAGGCATCGACCTCCGCAGGAGAGCTAATGGCTTGCATGAGTGTCTGGACTGTAAATCTACCGGCTCTCCATCAGCATGATAAACAGTGGTGTTATATAGAAACAAAAAAAGGAGGGTTGCAAAGTCACAGTGGAATTTGAACTGCACTGCTGTGGTTCAAACATCAGAAAAAATAGCATCAGCGTTTTTCAGCCAGACCATCCAGATCCTGCAGTCTTCAGTCACTTGTTCCATTTCCAGCTTCTAACATTTGGTAAGTGTGACTTTATGTAATAGGTATTATACTATATGCTCCAATACATTATGATGGATTAGAGACGGATTAGATGGCAAATCATGTGTTACAATGCACTGGAGAAAAAAAAAAAGGCAGGATAACACTGGCAGTTGCTTTTGAGCTGCGTCCATCTGGCTGCTAGCTGAGCTCTGGAAGAAGCAGGAAGTATATCACCCTCAGGGGCAGAGGCCCAGTGTGTCGACTTCACTGATAAATGAGATTTATCTCAAACATCAGCAGAGGATGTCCTGTATTATGTAGCTACAAAGACTTTGATTTATGATCACATCATACAAACATCTGCTATCTGTTTGTACCTACATCCAACCCCAACCACCCAAAAAAAATCCAATAAAAACATAAAATCCAGACTCTTCTTCTGCCACAGGTGTTCTACAAACGGGCCGACATGGCCATCGGTTCACTGACCATAAATGAAGAGCGCTCAGAGATTATTGACTTCTCTGTGCCGTTTGTGGAGACGGGGATCAGCGTGATGGTGGCTCGGAGTAATGGGACGGTCTCTCCTTCTGCTTTTTTAGGTGAGGAATGTTTCCTAGAAGCATTTTAACTAAGATCAAAGCATCACTGTGCAAAAGGCCGGAAAACACGCGAAAATAAAGAAACTCATATCTCGACTTTTTTAGGCTGACATGCAATATGTGAGGCGTCACAACCGCTTTTATTTAAAGTCACTTTATCGTTATATAAAAATGCAAAAATAAAACATTACAAGGTTTTGGTTTCTCAGTCAGGAGCTGCTGCAGTTTCACAGGAAACCTTTTGAAACTTTTCTACCCATTTTATTGATGTTTGCAATAATTACCTTTGTACTGGGTAAAATGATTTCGCTTGGCTGGGGATATTTCAAGTCTCTTTGAAGTGGGGCCGTGCGAGGTTTGGATCCACAGTCAGTGGACCTGTGGCAGATGGCAGCACCACCAACCGACACACTGTAGTAATGTTATTAGTCACAGCTTCACTGAAGAAAAGCGTAAAGTAACAGAACTTCAAATGATATCAATAAAGTATACCATCTATGTCTTTTGCAAATATTGACACATTACGAATTATCAGTTTATTGTAGTGTGACCTTGTGGTCTACAGACGTAAAGTACCTGAACATCTATAAAACACTCATATTTGCATATATCTGCAAACATGTGCACTCGATTGGCTGTGCTCTCTGTCCCCGCAGAACCCTACAGTCCAGCCGTGTGGGTGATGATGTTCGTCATGTGTCTCACAGTTGTGGCCATCACAGTCTTTGTCTTTGAATACTGCAGTCCAGTTGGGTATAACCGCAGCCTGGTCAGTGCCAAAGGTGAGTCTCCTAACCCGGTCCAGTCCATCAGCGCCTCAGCCCTCGAACAATTAACCAAACAGAAACTTCATGCAAGCATTACAAGGACACAGATACCTGCTAATTGGGGCTAAAGATCTATTAAAACAGTGCAATTTTCCTCCAATTTCCTCCAAGACTTTGACCCGACACTCGTTGCGAGGCAGCTTGTTTTACGCTGCGTGTTGTGTACCTCAAGTCGAGTGTTTTGACCGATGCACAAAACATTATATTGATAGAGATACGTTGTAATGGCTGCTATGATCTTCGTGGGTCTTTGTTAGATGGTGCCTTGCAGGGAAAAGCCTGTTCTAACGTTTGAGTCTAAGGTTTATTTTGAGCACCTGACGGTTCTTTTTACTTCTCATCAATGAACTCTCTCCACACTCTTTTACGTGATTATTGTGTACGTAGCAGAGGAGGTTTGATGTGTCTGAGGTGGATTGGTTTGCTGCATGATTTGCATACTTTTCATAACCACAGTGGTAGCCCCTCGTTCAGGAATGAGCTACTCAATCTGTTTTGGCCGGTCCTTCTGTGGTGGCTACTGCAAACCGTCATCTAAAGCAATGAAAAGATATTGCAGTAATTGGTGTGTTTTGCCATTAAATATAATTAAAAGGTTTTGTAAACTCATGAGATGAATAATGATTTAATCCGGCTAAAAGCCTCAGACTCTTAGTTGTCAAGGACTCATTCCTTCTTTAAGGTGAATGTTTGCCAGAGGATAGAAAAAAAAATCATCTTTTGTTTAAATTCAATGATATATTGGTAGCAACATTTACCAAATACTGTGTTGGGTACCCTAATGAGCTTTTCTCTAATGGAAAATTAACCTGCATTTATAGGGCTCAGTGAGGGTCATTTTGGACTTTGGTTATTTGTATCCATGAAAATCTTCTTAAAATCTTTGCACCCACAAAACCATTTTACATTTTTATTTTTTCTGAATTCACAAACATTCTCGGAAAGTTTAAAGTGGAATTTAATCCATGCAGAAAATATTGATCAAGATATACATTTTCCATTTTAAACTAGCAAACAAACTTCTTTCCAGTATGCAGCAGCAAAATACCAATTTAATGTAATTTTAAAAACTGATTTAAAACATGGCAGACCTGACTTGTTAAAGGTTTCATATCCAATCCTGTTTACAGTGGCCACATGTTGGATCGATGCCTGGTAGATTGAGACGCTGCAGTTTAATTTCAGAGCCATGTGGGTCTATGAAGTATTCTATAATGGATGAAGGACATATGGGTTAAACCCATTTAATCTTTATTACAGCAGTCTTTATTTTTATATATTCTATAAAGTACGACATATATGATGTCACAAAGGTAACAATATAAACAATAAAACAATAACAATAAAACACCAATCATGTTCTTTTTGACATGTAACTTGAGATTTACCCAACTGGTGTCTTTGTGACCATCAGCACATTCAGTTACATATTATTGCTGCATAAGTCAGTTTGATTTAGACTGAAATACTACACCAATAACTCAAGACCAGTCAGTAATATTTGGGTAATAAAGAGTTAAATGAAAGCTGACATAGGCAAACTTGGACAATGTTCTTTTGTATATACTTATCTAATCAAATACCAGTTGCAGCCGGTGTGTTCTCAAATTGCAAAGAGTCACATCACAGATGGCGCAAAGTGACTGACATAATCCACACATCTTCACCAGTCCATCTCAGAGTGACTGCAGTCGATCTAAATTGTACAGTAACTGTTTGGAGACTGGTTGCCTCCCACCAGCCAACCTGTGCAATCACCAAACTACTAGGCAACTACCAATTTTCAAGGATGTTGCCTTCCTATTTCTAGTTTACTGTGATTGAGCCATTAGGGGAAAAACTCAATTATCATCAGAAGTGAAAGTCTGAACAATAAGTATAACTATGTTTGTTCATCCCTAAAGTTTTCTCTATCACTAATATGTTACCAAAAAACACGTCAAGATATTAATTAACAAATAAAAATTTTAAACGTGTTCGATTTCACAGATACTTGGGTCATCGTCTTGGCCGGTACTAGATGTCCCCTCTTTACTTCATCCTTTCTAGATCCCGGAGGTCCCACCTTTACCATCGGGAAGTCTGTGTGGCTGCTGTGGGGAATTGTCTTCAATAACTCTGTCCCTGTTGAGAATCCAAAGGGCACCACTAGCAAGATCATGGTCCTGGTCTGGGCTTTCTTTGCCGTCATCTTCCTGGCTTCCTACACAGCCAACCTGGCAGCCTTCATGATCCAGGAGCAGTACATCGACACAGTGTCCGGACTGAGTGACAAAAAGGTACAGACCTCTGTCATTGACCGTCCTGAGCGTGTTGCTGTGTTTAATGTACAGCTTAGGAAAGTGCTCTATTTTAGGAGTGCAAACAACATGTGGCAGAGCTATGAAGTGTAAACATCCAGAAATGCCAATGTCATAGCTGTGACTTTCCACTTTCCCTGCAAAACACTAAAGGGTTCACACATTAAGTGGGGAAATTGAATTACACAGCCAGACTCTTTGGAAGGTGATGTCAACGGAAAGCCTGTGAAACATAATACACAAGTGGATTTTCTGGGTAGACGGCGATTATATTTTTCTGGTATTATCTTATGCATATTTGTCTGGCCCGGGGATGTGTTTTATAGGAATATTGACGAGGAAATCCATGTTAAACCATCAGCACAAAAAATGATTTGCAGACTTTTTGCTTGCAGGCAACTGAAGGGATTAAAGAGGCATTTGAGGAAAAGACCAAGCAGTCCGCCGCTCATTACGAGTCTAGCAAAGTCATTTACAATTCCAGTTTCATCATACATTAACTCTGCCATGCAGCGAAGGAAACAGAATCAGTCTGACAGTGAGCCCATAGATTATTAAAGGGAATTCTGCATGGCAGCATGGTGGGAAGTGAGCGCTCAACTGCTGTTGGTCCAGCTGTGCCGAACCCCTTAGGTTAAGTAAATGTAAATGAGGTACAAGAAGACACCACAGAACGTGACCTTGTATCAGAGGAGACAAGCTCAGCTACTTTCAAGACACTGCAGTGTTAAGGGAGATGATTACCTCGTTTGTCCAGAAAAGGCACTTCACTTACACAACAACTTTTTGCAAGTCGGAAGTCGGTAACACGTCACTACCCCGAACTTCTTTTGGCACTGCATCTCTAACCTTTAAAGTAGGGGTGTAATAATTCTCCATAACCACAGTTCATGCCATGCTTTTTCTTCAGAGTTGATGGTGAAAAATATTCATTATTCTGATGGCTTTCTGCAAAATCTTCATCCAGGTGGATTCAGGGAGGTTGGTCAGATACTCCTGATAAACATCAGGAATACTGTGTCGTTTATTTGTTCATTTTTGACTTTTGGATAATGTGCCAGATGTTCAGAAGTTCATGTCTGATGGCTTGAATTGTAAAGATCAACAGGTATCAGATCAGCACCTACTGACCAATCAGTTCTTGAGACAATAGCGTCACCCTGGAAGATCCCTGGGACCTCTGTGTGGCTACCAGGAGGGTCTAAAGATTCTTATTTGCAGCTTTAGTCCTTTACATTTCTTCTGTTGGCTGCAAACAATTTCACAACAATTTTATTGTTTATGCTCCTTAATATAAAACCCTAAAGCAGGACGTCCATTTGTACCTGCGGACCTTATCAAATTTCCACGCTGTCTAAGCCAGGCATGTCCAACACATTTTACCCCGTGGACTACATACGGCCCACTCCCCTGAAGCTCCCCTGTCTGTCAGTGTAAAGGAGTTCAACTACACTTGCGATTTCAACAGAACGTCTCAGTTTTTCTCCAAGGTAAATAAATGTTGCTTCAGTAAATGAAAGAAATCTATCAGCGCGACTCTTTGGGCTTAAACTGTAAGAAATAAATGTGTAAAATTACAGAAAAACATTGGTTAGCTCACAGCCTAGCACTGGTTTTTTTTTGTTTTTTTTTACTGTAGATCCAAACGTTTTTATAGCAGATGGGAAATTTTCAGTCATTTAAATGTTTTTCTATTACTTAATTACTTCAGTGTACCAAGAATGACCATGTGGGAAGTCTTTATTAGTGAAAAAACCTCTAGTGGGCCAAAATGCTTTTCTGTTGCTGGGCAGATTCTGGCCCCTGGGCCGTATGTTTGACATCCTTGGGTGTATTTTGTTGATCATTCTGCAGATGAAAAAAATGAAAACTAAAAATCTTCCGCACATCTAAAATTTAATAAAATAAAATAATTGGTGCCTTAATTTTTATTAATAGTTCAGCCCTTTTCATCTTGGCTTCAGATAGGCGATACTACACTACTGCACACTGACTTTCAGTCACTCATACAGGCGGTTTTTCTGTAGCAGCTGTGTTGGTTTCAGTCTATAAAGTCAGTGTAGCCTCTTATTTTTAAGATAATATAGTTTCATGTTCCTTTGGGAAGTCTTATTTGTGGTCAGATGATGCCAATGACATCTCAGTCATGAGAACATGATTGAAAGCACTGGGTTGATTTATTGAGTTGATAACCACCTTTGTGTGACTGCTTACCCTGATTGCCAGTGTTGGAGTAAGTGAGGTGAAATGATATCCTGGGTATGTTGTACTTGCTTCGTACTACAGGGCTCCGACTGACCATTAATAACGCTGATCCTGGGCTGATGTCAGCAGCCTGTGCTGCAGCTGATGTGATTTCCTCCAGAAGTGTTAGCTTCTGCCATGCAGACTGCAGCAAATGTCATTTCTCTGTTTTCTCATATTATCTGTCACATTATCAGATTTTCACTGTAATATAATTAGACAGTCATAGTAGAATTTGAAAAAACAAATCACAATGATTATATTATTATGAATCCTAGAGAAAATTAAAAAACAGATAACAGGACTGGTTAAATTAATAACTTTGTTTTTTGAGCAACGAGGTGACGAAATGCATAACTGTACAAACAAATATAATTTGTTTACATATCAATCTCTGTGCATTTTATCACAATATTGATATTTCATTTCTAAATATGAAGACGGGATACGTTACGGGCGGAGACTGCACTGGTGTTCCTCATAATGCCAACACTGTAACCTGTACTCTGCTACTTCGGTTTCTTTATTTTAACAGCTGACGATTTGTGTTTAATCTCAGTCTGTTCACGAGCACTCTGTCTTTCTGAGATGCACAAATTTTATACAAAGTAACTTGATGTTCAGCTTGTAATCAGACACAATCAGCTCCAACAGAACAGCCTACAAGAGCTACATCTAGAAGCTAAACACCACAATACAGGAGCCACCAACCAGCATTGTGGAGCTTAGTTGTATTGTTTAGTTGTATTCAATTTAGAAAGACTTCCTTTAATGAAAAATTAAAAATAAATAATAACTTCGGCATGCTGTGAATTATTTTGTCTGAAAACAGACAATATTGGATCCAAAGATCAAGTTTTTTTTAATGGAAATTGTAATCATCACATTTCAGTTTTTCCTTGAGCCTTCTTGTTCTTATTTCTCTTTCACATGAGGAGAAGTGCTTCCTCATAAAACATCAGAGTGATTGAATAATCTATGTCTATATGCCATCGTCTCTCCTGAGACACTTATTCGATCAACGGCATTATTTTTGTCATTAAAAATTGTTATTCTACTTCCAGTTTCAAAAGCCGCAGGAGCAGTATCCTCCATTCCGCTTTGGTACCGTCCCAAATGGCAGCACAGAGCGCAACATAAGGAGTAACTATCCCGAGATGCATGCCCACATGGTCAAATACAACCAGAAGGGAGTGGAGGATGCCCTTAACAGCCTCAAAACAGGGTAAGTGTCTGCCAGGAATCGTAAAAAGTCTCCTCACAGCAGACGTGTGACTGAAAGAAGAGCCAGACAATTACACGATGGCCATTTGAGTAAAAATCCTTTTCTTTACCCTGCTAGGAAACTGGATGCTTTTATCTATGACGCTGCTGTGTTGAATTACATGGCTGGCAAAGATGAAGGCTGTAAGCTGGTGACAATTGGCAGTGGCAAAGTGTTTGCTACCACTGGTTATGGCATTGCACTCCAGAAGGATTCACGCTGGAAACGACCCATCGACCTGGCCCTGCTCCAGTTCCTGGCTGATGGTAAATTCTACATTTAATAGATTGCTTTAATATTTGTATTTGCAGTATTCCCACAAAGCTGAATGAGAAAAAATTCTAATGATTGAAAGCCAAACCTATACTGTTGTAATAAAAGGGCCACACAATATTATTACAGTAAAATGTATCTGAATGAGAGAATGAAAGATCATAAAAGCAATAAAGAAACTTTCATGAGATAAGATCAAATGTGATTCATTAGGTCCTTAGGCAAATTATTGCAAAGCCTTGGGCACAATCCCCATAACCTTTGGCAGAATATGCAGTAGGTAAACATTTGGATAATAAAGCACACTGTCAGACTTATCACTGCTCAGATCAGCAGCAAAGGCACACGATTTAGGCAGGAAGATTTTTATTCTAGAGGGAAGAAGAGGAAGACAACAGCTGTCATAAACATAAAGATCTCACAGTTTTTGTGGAGGCAGTTTAGGAAGCAAACAAGTGACTGAGCCAACACTGTTGGTGTTGCCAAAAAATGTTTTCAGATGATCCGGATGGTGGTTTATGTTTCTTTTGATTTGTAGCTTTATTTTTACTGATATCGCTGCTAACATGTTTGCTAGAGCCAGCGATGTGAAAGCTTTCTTTGCAATAATAGCCATAAGGCTGGGCGATGGTCTCCATCACTGGATCATCGTATCGTCCCCCTGAGAAATCACAAATAACCAATGGCATCGGTGCAGGACATACAGGGGCTGGGGGTTAAAGTTCACTTGTTAAGGTAGCACTTTCCACCCTCTGTAATGCATACTGTACTGATCAAACAAAACAAGCAGAGCACTACAGCTCCCGGTGACAGAGAAATACACACACCAGAGAGCACTTCCCTTATCCAACATTACGAGAGACGCTGCAGCTGCAGCAGTTGGAGAGAGTCATTTATACAGCACAAAAAAAGCATGATTTAGACACTGTAATTAGTGAGAATAAGTTGAAAGTTATCATTTGATCAGTTGCCCGGATCTTTTTTGTAATTAATTAATTATTTAAGGTCGTTCTGAGTCCTCCAGTGTTTGGGAAAAATCTCACCTGGTTCTCCTCTAGTGTCCGCCATGACCTCTGCATACATACGTAGTATGTAGTAGAGGCTGTTAAGCTCTAATTTAAAAATGAAACCATCCTTGCGTTTTCTCTCATTTTGAGATGCACCAGCGCAGCCATTCCACACA